ACACACACACACACACACACACACACACACACACACACACACACACTCTCGTACCTCACTCACCTCTGTACTCCAAGCTAGCGCAACCCACCCAGCTGCTAACTCACACATCCACTCTCTTAGGTTAAGCGCTGAAAGGTTACGTTAGAGTCGTGTCAAGGGCCAGGACAGAGATGAATTAAGGCAAGCAAGTCTTACTATTCTGTAGCCCCACGGAAGGCACAAACTGGAAGGAGCGGGCACGTCCTAGAGGTTCTTCCTGCTCCCGAGTGCTGCCACCTCTGCCCGCCAGGCCTCTTGGAGACAGGGTAGCCAGCTCACGGTGGCCCAACCCTGTATTACATATTTCAAGACACATAAATATTGTTAGTGTTCATAAGAAAAAGACACCCAGATGGGGACACTGGCACACGCCTGTGATCCTAGTGCTCAGGAAGGCAGAGGCAGGCGGATGCCTGTGAGTTCAAGTCCAGCTTAGTCTACAAAGTGAGTTCAGGACAGCCAGGTCTACACAGAGAAACCCTGTCTTAAAAAGGAAAAGAAAAGAAAAAGATCTCCCCACACCAACCACCACCAAGTGTGGTGGCACACACCAATGATCTCAGCACTCAGGAGGTAGAGGAAGGACCCGAGTTAGAGGCCAGCTTGAGAACCCCTGTCTCAAAACACTAAGGGCTGAGGATGTAGCTTATTGGCGGTTTATTTAGTATGCGTAAGGTTTCATCCTGGCACAGAATAGGTGGGGGTGGAGTTGGGGTAATCTGGGAGTACCACAGATAGGTCAGGTTAAATCCCCGGTACCTTGAGAAGAAGTAGAACAGCAAAAGTTGGTGCTCAAAAGAAAACAAGCAAACATAAAACTCAGCGAGATTAGGTAGTGAATTTGGAAGGTAGAGGGAGGAGCATCAGTTCAACGTCAGCTTTGTCTATATTGTGAGTTCCTGGGCAATAACGCCGTCACCAAAAACAAAACAAATGTGCACTGTGTGTGTATAAAACTCACTGGGTGTGATGGTAGCGGTGGGATTGGGGAAGACAGGAAGAGCAGAGGTCCCAGGACAGCCTGGGCTCAGTGACACCTAGTTTCAAAAACCCGAACCCCAATCCTACAGTGGTGGCACACACCTTTAATCCCAGAGCTTGGGAAGCAGAGGAGGTGGCTCTCTGAGTTCAAGGCCAGTCTGGTCTACAGAATGAGTTCCAGGGCAGCCAGCGCTACACAGATAAACCGCTTGCCCCAAAATTACTGAACCGCAAACAAAAGAAAACTCTCACCAGCTACGAGTCCAAATTCAAATGTGCTGGAAAGGGCCACGAGTAAGACCACACTAGGAAAAGGAAATTGGACAGCAGTTAGCCAAACAAAACATGCAAAACTGGAGTCTTCATCACAAGACCACAGGCCACCAAGGAGACCTTTCTTCTAGTGGTGCCTCCAGTGACAAAACTGGAACAGAAACTCCCTTTTTGAAAGAGCCGTTTGCTTAAGACTCTATGGAGGGTGAATGTTTGTGATTGTACAGAGTTGGAAAGCTGCAGATTGGAAGCAAAAAATCACCTTGGGCTATGTTTGAAGGCCATATGATGGCCTTTCATCATGAACCTCTCTGTGTGTGACTTAACATCCTTTTGGCTGTCCCACAAAAAACAGTGAAATGAAGCAACATAGCAGAACACGAGCTCCTGAAAAACACTAGCTGGCACCTCCCTACCTGACGTCTTCACCAATAGACAGTTTAATGCATAGATTTCTACTTTCTTTGTTCTGTGGCTACCAAGGAGCCCTCCTAAGGGCATGCATGGCAATATGAATCTGTGTTCCTAAGTCATGGGCATTCGTACACAGCTCAGAAGAATGTCTCTTACTCTTTGGAACAAGGGCTGTGTTTTGCATTAACAAGTCCCCAACATCCAATATTTCATCACGTGTATTTCTTAGGCTCCACCCGTACATAGACATGATTTTAAATAGCTATAAAGCTAAAGAGCTAATAAATTCTATCTTGCATAAGCTGCATATTTTTCCACGGTTCAGAGTCTGCATATATGAATTTTTAAATTGCTATGTGGGCTGGGCCTGGGGTGGACCACTTGCCTAGAGTGTGCAGGTCCTGGTTTGGTCCCCAGAACCACTGGAAAAAAAAAAAATATCGGCTCTGTCATTTGAAATGGTTCCACGCTTAATTTGTTATCCCGAGTGGTTTTTCAAAGTACTGAATTTGTCTATACCATTAACTTTTAGAGGCAATCTTAATTCGGCTGTAACAATAATATTATTTATGCGAGAGAAAGAAAGCATTATTTCTCCAGCAGTCATTAGCACAATTGATGTGAAGAGCGAGCCAAGAAGAGTGGTTGCCTCTAAGCTTTACGACCTGAGTTGGATGCCCAGGCCCATATATGGCTCTGATTCCACTAAGTCATCTTTTCACATCTCCAATCATATGTACACACTTGCACACACACAAATAGTGAACATTAAAAACATTGAATGTTTAAAAAGTTAATGGCAAAGTAATACCTAACCAGGCACAAAGTTCAAGGTTCTTCAGAAAAAGCAGGAATGCTACTGTCAGGCTCAAACAAGAGAAAATCAGAGAGGGGTAGAACACGGTTTTCTGAAGCGTCAGTCTCCAGCAATCAAAAATTCAAGGTTAGCTCATACCTGGCCGAGAGGCACGCCATCTTCCGAAGCTTGTAAAAATGTTGAAGGAAAACAATATTAGAGAGTGGCTTTGATTCATAAAGTCATTCCCAAAGCACTCTGAAGTTAATTTCACGAAGTGAAGGGAGCAGATTAAGAAGAAAGATATCCCAGAGGAGAACTGCGCCTGGCCGGGAGGGTCTCTGAGAAGTTCACAGCCGAGACAAGGGGGGAGGGGAGGGGACCTTTTTCCCTATTGAAGGTTTGGCCTTGAGAAAGGACTTCTGAGGGCTCTTCCTTCGCCAGCAACCCTTGGGGTGGCGGGGAGGACCCTCCGGTGGGCGGGAAGACAGGAGCCCCACGCCCATTCCTGGGCCCAACTGCGGCGAGGCCAGGCGGAGAGCTTAGCCAACAGCACTGTCTCTTTAGAGACAGGTTGTCTTTTCTCTTGAAAAAGGGGGTCGAGGAGAGAGAGCCGAGTTACTCTACCAAGGTGATTCAAACACGGAGATTATTAATTAGGAAAGTCCAGACGCCGTGTGTATTATAATGCAGGCATCCGATACTCCATTATCAAAATGTGTTATAGTTGTTCTTTTGTTTGTTCTTCGAGACAAGAGCTTCTCCCCGTAGACCAGGCTGGCTTCGAACTCCCGCGGCCTCTGCCTGCTAAGGGCTGGGATTAAAGGCGTGCGCCACCACGGCCCGGCTGGTTACCAGATTTTAATTCGCTCTGAATTTGGGCTCTTTTTTTCGCGAGAACTCCCTGGGGAGCCGGGGAGGGGGTCTCGGGAAGGTGCGCTGGCGGCCGCAGAGGACTTGTTCGGGTGTGGAGCAAGGTCAAGGTCGGGAGGGATTTGAGTCTGGGTGTGAGCTTGAGTCTTTTACAATAGCGGCGCCTGCGGGTGGGCGCGGGGCGAGGTCTGCCTGAGGCTTAAAGCTTAGAAAGCACGTTAGTAGGTCCCTTGGTGCTTCCTGGTCTCAAACCAGCCCAGATGGATGAGTTTCACTTTATTTATTTATTGGGTGGGGACGGGGAGGCCTTGACTTGCCGGTGGAGTTATCTATCTCTTTGTTGCTGGATGCTGGTCTACGACACAACCCTCAGAGAAACACCCCCCCCCCCCCCCCCCCCCCCCCCCCCCCCCCCCGCCTGACACTCCATTCGTTGAAGGCGCTACAGCAGGGCTCAGACGGTGGCAGTCACCTCCCCGTTTCAGACAAAGGGACCGAGGCTGCTATTCTGGTGAAATGGTTCAGCGCCGAGTGCAAGGAAGGCCAGCCTTCCACCCCATGACCCGAGGACCTGTCCCATCGGGAACACTGTGCCTCCAGCGGGCGGAGGGGACACCTGTGTGTGTCCAGGGCGGAATGCCACAGGGAAAGGGCCTTTGAGAACCGGAAGCCAGATGTGTGCTAATAGGCTGAGGAGACAAGACAAGGACCATCCATTCTACTTCACTGTTTTAGATTTATCCTCATATTCCCCTGAGCTGTCATGTATCAGAAACTGGGGAAGGCAAGTGTGTGTGTGTGTGTGTGTGTGTGTGTGTGTGTGTGTGTGTGTGTGGTCATGAAAGCTGGACATGGTGCCCCAGGTCTGTAATTCTAGGACTTGAGAAGTAAAGGCAGGAGGGTTGAAGTGAGTTCGAGGCCAGCCTGGCCTTCAGAGTGAGTTTAAGACCAGTCTGTGCTACAGGGCAAGACTCTACTTTTTGTTTCTTCTTATCCTTTTTTTTTTTTTTTTTTTTTTTTTTGAAAAAGGGTCTCACTCAAAGACAGGCTGGCCTGGAGCTCTCAGTGACCTTCCTGCTTCTGTTCCCCCAAATTCTCAGATTACAAGCATGTGTCATCACTCAGAATACGGAACACAAAACCCTCCCTTCTACTTTCGACATTGGCCTCTATTGTGGCCCCCCAGCGAAGACCAAGACAGTGGGTGGGCCTGGGAATTCTGTCCATGCTCAGTCTCTCAGTCCAGCCTCAGTCTCTCTCCTCCCCCAGTCTCTCTTCACCCCACCCCCGTCTCTCTCCATCCCCAGTCTTTATCCTCCCCAAGTCTCTCTATCCACCCACACCCCCAGCACACCTAGCTTCCAGCCAAGTTCCGAGTTCCTAAAACCCTGTCTGCATCTGTTATTTCCCTGCAGGCTAGGGCTCCTCATTAACAAGCTAATGGCTGTTTTTTCGGAGAACTCGACAAACAGAACTCATTCTGCGTAGGCACTAGTCCCCTGTTGGGATTTGTAAAACCAGATTCCTGCATACAGACGGGAAGACTAGGTGTGAGGAGGGATGACCGAGGGATTTGTTTCTGTGTGGCTCACTTTGTTACTTTTCTACTTTGTAGACATATTAAGAATTATTTTATCTTGGCAGGATGAGTTTCTACAGGGGCGGCGCGTGTTAGTATTTTGCTGTTTGGATCAGCATATTTCACTGTATTTACTGGGTGTTTGTATGACCTGGCTGGTGGTTCTTACTGTGCCCTTGAACTGGCTTCTTTGAGTCTGAATGTCATTTGCTCTGGGAAGTCCTTCCTGGCACCTTTTTTACCTTCCCTGGCTTCCAGCTGAGGCCATGAAGTAAAGAGCAGATCCTGGTAGCCGCTGCCCCGCCCCATTTCCTCTGGTTCCCACTAGGAGGGCTAAAGCCTGTTATTCAGAGCGCTCGGCTTCTTTAACAATGTCTCCCTGAGCCACCTAACTTAGGGAAACCCTCCCCCATGGGCCACCCTATGGCAGAAAGAATCATTAAGACACGGCCCTAGAGCCAGACATGGCGGCACACGCCTGTAGTTCCAGCACTCAGGAGGCAGAGGCAGGCCAGCCTGGCCTACAAATTAGGTCCAGGACAGCCAGCACTACACAGAGAAACCCTGTCTCAAAAAACCAAACCAAACCAAAACAAAAGACATGCCCTCGTGTCTAAAATAGGAGCTAGAGCGAGACTTCTGCTAAGCAAGCCAGGGAGACAGTATTTCTGCCCCAAACCCGGGTCCTTAGAGTGGTTATGTTAGCAACCTCCTTTGGCCACTGAGCCACCTTACTCCCTCCAACTTTCTCAGGTCTTTTGAACAAATCTTTCTTTTGCCAGTCAAATTGATAAGCTATTTACGGACCAACCATTTTGGGCTGAGCATAGCCGGGGAGCCAGAAATTGCCAGTTGGGGCAGGCTCTGGCTTCCTTTCCCCATCCTAGATAAGACAAGCCAAATACCATTTTAGTTGCATTCCCAAACTCCTGGTGAGGGGAAGGGACAGCTGTATCTTGATTGCTCACAGATATTGTCAGAGTTAATTGGCCTCAGCAGAGAGGCCGGCAGACAGGCCCCTTTGAGACAACTATGAAGGCAAACTGGGCTGCAAGTGATTTTCACAAACTCCAGAGAGGATGTGTCAGAGCGGGCCTTAAGTGGATTTGTATTCGACTGCTCAGAGGCATTCTTCACACTCTGGGATTTTGAAATGGGTGAAATGCAAACGGAAGGTGGGAGGCTGGGTGCAGGCCCTAGCTGCCATCAGAAACAGGGTTAAAAGCCTGTCCTGAGCAGGTGTTCTGCCCAGTTCACGAACCCCAAAAGACCAGGAATATGGTCTCTCACAGGGAGCAGATGTCTTGTGTGCAAATGTACCAGCCACACTGAGCTAACTCAGAGCCGACTTCTGGGAGTCAAGCCCAAGTCCTCCACAAAAGCAGCAAGCTCTCAGGCTCCTTCCCCTTGTTTTCTGAGATGCGGCCTCCCACTTAATGTGGAGCTCACTGACTTGCTGAGGCTGGAAGGCCAAGGAGCTTCAGCGGTCTCTCGGCCTCTGCCCCCGACCCCCAGAACTGCGGTTACAGATCTATAACCACGCCTGGCTTTATGTCATTGTTGAGCGTCACACTCAGGCCTGCACGGCAAGTGCTTTACTCTCTTGCCCTCTAAACTTAAAAAAGAAATAAAACTTAAATTATGTATTATAGTCATAAACATTTACAAACAAGGGCAGGGGGAGTGAGGCATGCCTTTAGTTCCAGCACTCAGGAACAGCACTCAGGAGGCAGAGGCAGGCAGGACTCCGTGAGTTTCAGGCCAGCCTGATCCGCATAGGACCTAACGTTACCGTCTTATTTCAAAGTCTCACACAACCACCAGAATTCCAGAAGTTTGCCTCATTGCTCTTCCAGTCACCACAGTCTCTGATTTCCAATGCCATAGGTCAGCTCTTGCACGGCTGTGAATTTTCAATGTGTGTTTGTGAACTTGCCTCTCTTGTGTTGATGAACCATTCCTATTGTTTGCAGAAGCTGTATCATTTTCAATGTCTTATAGTACTCCATGGCACTGTGTGCGCGTGCGTGCGTGTGTGTGTGTGTGTGTGTGTGTGTGTGTGTGTGTAACTAGTACTGAAGGCCAGAAGAAGGTAGAGTATCATGTTGTGGTGACAATACAATTATTGTGTTGCTATCTCATAACTGCAATTTTGCTACTGTTATGAGATATAATGTAAACTATCAGTGTTTTCCAATGGCCTTTGATGGCCCCTGTGAAAGGGTCAGGAAACCCCTGTGAAATGGTCTTTCTACCCCAAAGGGGTTGAAAAAAGCTGCCTTAAACCATGCGGTGCCCTTGGACCCCAGTTGGGGCTACTCATGTACCCGTGTACACCTGTGTACCCGTGTCTATTTTGGACTGCTTGTAGATTTGAGGACATGGGCAAGTGAGTACCACAGGGCACAGGCCTGCCTGGTGCATCAGACAATGCAAGACGTGTGTGAGTGTGTGTGTGTGTGTGTGTGTGTGTGTGTGTGTGTTCCTCCACAGGGTCATATAGCCCAGGCTTAGGACAGCCCTGACCCTCTGCCTCTTCTGCCTCTACCTCCTGAGAGCTGGGATCACAGACACGCACTGCTGCACGCGCCTTGGAAGGTCGTTTTGGATCCGCCCAGTGAGTACAGGTGAGTTTAGTACAGTACCAACAACTCCTTTCATAAGTGTGAACACATCCGGTATTTTAAAGTATCTCTTGGCTGTGTGTCAGATGCAACCTCCAAACGTGTGAGAACACTGACCCTGGGACCCTTCCCAGGACTTAGGGCCTCCTGGGCAGAGGTGCTTGGTCAGGCTGCACCAGTGAGGAGCCTGCCGTGGCTACCACTGTGCCCGGTTGTGCCAATTCCTGCATCTCGCCGTGTGGCCACCAGCCAGCAAGGTTGACATTGGTAAAGCTTGGTAGAGATATGGCTGTCTGGCTCTGTAGTTGAGCCAGATGCTGGCAGCTTGGTGTAAAGGTTAGCAGGACATTCAGTTAGAATTTCAGATTAAGGACAAATAAGTTTGTGTGTGTGTGTGTGTGTGTGTGTGTGTGTGTGTGTAAGTGTATTCTCAAAATAGCGTTATTATTGTAATGTTCGGGAATGAACCCAGGGCCTCATGCACACCAGGAAGTGCTGAGATTACAGGGCCTGAGACTCCATGCTCAGCTTTCAGGGCTTTTGTTTGAATTTTGAGACCTCGTCTCAAGTAGCCCAGGCTGGCTTTGAACTCCTAAACTTCTGATATGCCTGCACCCACCTCCTGAATGCTGGGATTGCATGCATGGATCACCTTGCCTATTATTGGAGTGGGGGTATTAGAGGGTCTGGGTTGGCCTTGAACCTTTCGTAGATGAGGATGGCCTTGGTCTCCTGATTCTCTGCCTCAAGTTCAGGCATTAATGGGTGTGTTTCCGGACTCCGGGTTCAAACCAAGGTGTGTGTGGAGCCCTTGCTGTTATAACCAGTTGGATTCCTGGGAACAGATTTGAGTTCTGTTATTCCCCAGTCTGCCATCAGCAAGACTATTTCCCCAGGTGGCAAGCTCTCTCTAAAGACAAACTAAACTATCGCGTTTAGGGATACAACGAACAAGCAAACAGACAAGAATGAAATCTAGACTTTCAGTGTATTTTTCAAACATTTCAAAACAAACAAACAAACAACCCCACCACCAACAAACCGTTTACATATGTTCCCTTGATCTCTTCCTAAACCCGTTCTAATCCTGTCTGTTGTTCGGCTCCTAGCCCTGGAGTACTGGGACCTCAGCTTTCCCCCTCAGCTCTGTTTGTTCTGTTCACCCTGGGCTTTCCTGGCTGGAAGGAGCCAGCGGTCTGTGGACGCGTGCGGGGAGGGGATGCTGCCTGCAGCGCTCACCGGATAAACCCTCCGTGCCTGCGTGCCAAGCCCTCCCCAACCAGGTCCGTTTTGTCTCTGCTAGTCTGAGTCACACAGAATAGATAGATAGTCTATCAGCACATGTCCTCCAGATCATGTTATCCGCTTACAAATATAGCCCGTTAGCGCACAGGCACGGTAGCCCTTCCGCTGGGGGCGTTGCCCTGCGGGGTGTAAACAGCATCGAAAGCGGATCGCAGCGTGGCGGCCGGGGACTGTCAGCGCCCGCTCGCACAGGGAAGGTGAGAGGCGGGTGGTCTCGGCCCCGGCGGCGGAGGGGTGTGAGCTCGCAGACCGGAGCCTCTGACCTGCGGCTGCGCAGAGGCGGAGTGGGGTGCCGTGGCTGCTTGGCGGGGGGGGGGGGGGGCGCCGGTGCCAGCGTCGTGCGCTTTGGCTGTTACAAGTCACCCGGTGCGCAGAGCGCCAGCCGCCCTCTAAGTACACGGAGAGGACCAGGCTTTGTCCAGGGCTTAGTTCAAGAAACACAGTGGAGAGGGGCGACAGCCAGCGCGTGGGGCGCGCAGGTGCCCTCTGACGGGCTGCGGGCGGGGCAAGGTCCTCAGCAATCCTTCCAGTTCCTTCGAGAGGACCATCCGGGTGCCCAAGAATGAGCTCCAGAGTGCTGTCGAGGGGGCGATAAATCAACTTTGTTTGTGCCCTCTTCTGGTCCTTGGAAAATGCGCTTGACATCTCCCAAGGAGGGGGGGCTGGGGGAGTGGTCTTCCCTTTCCCAAAGCTTCGCGCGCCCCCTGGTGTGAGCGCCGCAGGGGTTGGGGGACAAGGGTGGCGAAGTGGTTGGAGAATTGTCCGGCTCTGGACACAGCCCAGGGTCGGTGGCTTCTCGGCTGGACAGTCACCAGGGCCTGGGGCGTAGAACCGGCTAACCAAGTCGAGGTCTGTCTTCAGTTCTTCTTTCTCAATAATTGGCATTCCTTCCCAAGCCTTACTCTGTGGCAGGTCGTACCACAGGGCTCCCTCTCTCACCAGCCTGGCAGCTGGGTGCTGCGGTTGTGGCTTGCCCACGTGAGAATCCAGCAGCTCTGTCCTCCAGGACATGTGGCCAGTAACCGGGAGGCAGGAGTCCAGCCTGGGCCATCTGACTCAGCCCCGGTCCCCTTAATCCTTTCTGTGCCCTCTGTCTCTCCTGACTTGAGCTTCTAGCTTAACAAATTACCAGGACAATGATCAAATGAGCCAAGGGAAACTCGGATCAGGCAGCATAAAATGCAATTCAGTTTAGAATTCAGCTGAGATGTGGTGACTTTTCTGACCTTACTTTAAACGCCCCCCCTCCCCCCCCCCCCCCCCCCCTGCTGTGGAGTACAGAGCTGGACAGGTGCTGGGGCATCTTCCCACACAGGACACGCCTGGAAGGAGCCCGTGCAGGTTGCAGGAAGGCAGGTGGGATGTTACCAGAGTTGTCGGGGGCAGAACCTGGGCCCCAGCTGCAACCGGCAGTCCTTGACAGACCAGTTAAACACACAGCAGTACAGAGCCGAGGGCCTGGGATGTGCCCCTCCTAACTCCTCCAGACCTCTCCCATGATGCTCCGAGGTGCCCACTTAGCTTGGTGCCCACTCCACACCTCCAACCCCCTAAGCCCTCACCAGCCCAATGCATCCTTTGACAAGGCAGAGGACTAGGTGACCTGAATGTCGTGTCGTGTCCCCACCTCCTCCTTCGGCATATGACTTCTGAGTGGAGACCAGAGTTCTGGTGCCAGGGGACACATTTTTCCAGTCACACCCTCTGGCTCCGGGGGAGTCAGAGCTTTTGTAAAGCAATTCTGACACAACTGGGCTGGGGGGGGGGGGGAATCACGGAAAGTTTGTCAACTAAACTTGCACTTATGGAGTACAAGTGTCCCCCTTCACTCCCGACACCAGCGCCTCCCCCACAGCCCGCCACACTGTCTCCTGGGTTTCCCTCTTGTGGCTCCCTGGCAGTTAGCTTGTCCAGCCTTGGGTGTCCGACTCACGTGCTGAGCCGAAACCTCTCCCCGTGTGCGAGTTCTGATGGTCTCCCCACAGTCTGGAGGCTTGGGGGGTGTAGAGGGGACCTCCTTCATCCTTGTGCTCTTTGGCTTCCACGGGCTCTACATGCATGTGGTCACAGACATAGGCACAGGCAACACACTCACATACAGAACTATTAGAGGAAGCTTTAAAAGTCTGACCTGTTGCTGCAGCCCTGCGTCACTCCTCCCCCTACTCGCCACCACCACCCCAGCGTTTGGGTGGACTCTTTACTAAAAAGTTTTTATTTTAATTTCAAATGTTATTTATTTTTGTTGTCGTTGCTGCTGCTGCTGTGTGTAGATCACACGTGTGCCCGCCTTGAGTTTGAAGGTTCGAGGACAACTGTTTGGGAGTTGGTGTTGCACCATGGACCCTTCGGCGTAGAAGGACATAATGAGGGCTTCCTGTCGTTCTTGTTTTTCATGGCTTTTCGCCCCCAGCAGGAACTTTCTACGTCTTGAAATGTAGATCCTTTCTCTTTCCTTTGTTCTGTCCCCGTGTACCTGTCACACAAACAAGAAACAGAGGAGACCGAGGTGCCCACTCTTACCCCTGGCAATCAACATTCAATTATTTCCATGGAGGATCTGAGTTCGCTTCCCAGTACCCATACCGTGGCTCCATGGGAACCAGAAGCCTCAGCCTTCCCTGGTACCTGAACTCACATGCACACACGCACACACCACACATACACACTTAAAAATGTGCTTCAGCCCCCTGTACGTGCATATGGAGCTGACACGTGCATTTTTCTGCAGGTGACTTTATGCTGCTCCCCAGATGGGACACAAAGTGGTCGTGTTCGACATCTCTGTCGTCAGAGCCTTGTGGGAAACTCGCGTCAAGAAGCACAAAGCATGGCAGAAGAAGGAGGCGGAAAGGCTGGAGAAGAGCGCCCTGGAAAAGTGCGTTCTGGGGGCTGTTTTTCTGGGGTTGCGGGAGGGGTGCTCAGGGGGGCTGCTGTCGACTGGGCAAGCTGGGCTCGTTCGCTGGGCCGTCACGGCCACGTTCCTCCATCTGTGAGGAACTACATACTGTCCAGATCCTGTGCTGGGCACGAGGAGGACAGAGATGGCACGAAAATCCATCACACTAAGCACCATGGAGACCACTTAGCTGCCCTTCACCGACCTCACACGCGCCCACCCCGTGCTCCCACTGAGCACCTTCTTCACGAATTTCAGCCTTTACCTGCCGAGCCGAGTTCTAGCTAAGATTCACTTTGTTCCTCTGCTTGAACTGAAATGTTGCAGTCTGACTCTCAGCGATGTGAGTGAAAGGATTCTGCACAGAAACGACACTGAGGGGCTGGAGAGATGGTTCAGCGGTTAAGAACACTCGCTGCTCTTGTAGAGGACCAGGGTTCGACTCACAACCACCTGTAGTTCCAGCTTCAGGGTACCTGATGCTGTCCTCTGCTCTCTGTACACACTATATACACTTGGTACACACAGACACACCACACCACACACACACACACACACACACACACACACACACACACACACATGCACACTCATGCAGCACACATTCTCACAGCACAACACACACACCCCACACAATATACACACATGCACACGCACACACTCACATACCATTAAGTGGAGGAACTGGAGAGACGGCTTAGCAATTATGAGTGTTTGCCGCTCTCCCGGAAGACCCAGATTCAGGTCCCAGCACTCCAATTGGCCTGTTTACAACCTTCTGTAACCTGCTCCAGGGAATCCAAAGCCTTCATCCCATGATATTCATATACAAATATGGAGCCAGGCATTGGTGGCGCACACCTTTAATCCCAGCACTCAGGAGACAGAGGCAGGAGGATTTCTGTGAGTCTGAGGCCAGCCTGATCTACAGAGCAAGTTCCGGGACAACCAGGCCTACAGAGAAACCCTGTCTCGAAAAACAACAAAACATAACAAACAAGAACAACAAAAACCTTACTAAAACTCAGTTTAAGGTAGTGCTTCAAAAACTCTCTCTGTGGTAAATGTGAGCACGCAATCACCTCATCACTGTTCTACGTTACGAAAGGATGACATGTTAAGAAGATTGTGCACCCGGAAGGCTTAGCATAAGTCTGTAACTTCCATTCTCTGTGAAGAAACCAGAACAAGAATGCTTTTTTTTTTTTTTTTTAATTGTTTTTTTCGAGACAGGGTTTCTCTGTGTAGCCTTGGCTGTCCTGGACTTCCTCTGTAGACCAGGCTGGCCTCGAGCTCACAGATATCTGCCTGCCTCTGCCTTCCTAGTGCTGGGATTAAAGTTGTGGGCTACCACTGGCTCTTTCTTTTAGGGGAGGAGTTGTGTGAATATTTATTAACTTTAAATTATCAACAAAAGGTATAAAGTGTGAATCAGTCAATTAATTTATCTATAATCTTTTTTTTTTTTTAAATAATTTAGTGTGTGCACTCTTGTGCCCTCCTGCCAGTGTACACCTGTCAAGGCCAGAAGGCAACTTACAAGAGTCAATTCTCTCCTACCATATGGGTTCTGGGGGTCAACTCAGGTCATAGGCTTGGTGGTGAGCGTTTTCAGTGCTGAACCATCTCAGCAGCTCCCCTTGTTTTCGAACCAAAACAGGGTCTGAGTGACCAGGGTGGCCTTGAACTCCATGTCTGACAGAGAAAGAGCTGGAACTTCTCGTCATCCTTCAGCCACCCAAGTGCTGGTGTTAAGGGCTGTGTTTATATGGCCCAGAACTTGTGACATAGAGAAGGAATAGGTTGCCTGAATCTGCCTTCAGATTCAGCTTCGGAAGCAAGAAAGCTGAGCCAGGGGGATGTCTCAGCAGGAAGAGGCTATTACTGCTATATCTGTGGATCTGAGTTTGACCCCTGGGACCTGCATGATGGAGGGAGACAAATGGCATCTTCAGGTTGTCCTCTGGCCACCATGTTTCAGAGGGTGGCTTTGAACTCCTGAACCTCCTGCACCCATCTCTCAGGTGGGGGCTACAGGACTGCTCGCACACCAGCCTTGCTGTGTACCTTTCCCAGCACGCTCCTTCCTGGCACAGAAGCCTTTGGAGCTGTGTTAATTACGTCAAGTGTCCCTCATCCCTCCACTTAATGCCAAGCATGAAACCTCCACTATCTAAGATGGCTTTTTACCAGGACAGGAAGCCGATGTTTATAGAGCAAGGGAGCACATGCCTGTAATCTGGGACGTAGAGGCAGGAGGATCAAGAGTTTGTGAGTTCAAGGCTAGCCTGGGCTGTAGGAGACCCTACCTCAACCAAACAAGCAAAAAGAAGGTGACACTTGCAGCTAGACCTAGGGAGCCATGGACAGCAACATGGGGATGTAACATCAAAGGCAGACATGACATTACGGTTAATAGTTTTTAGAAGAAACCACACATAAGCAAGCACATAGGTAATATCGGTGGGAGGTTTAGCCAAAGGTTCCATCCGACCCTGCTCATCTTTTTTAGTCACCGTTGACTAGTGATGCACAGAAAGGTCTCAGATTTCCCAGCATCCCTGGCGGCAGGAAGGAAAGGTCAGGACAGGGCTTAGGTAGCCCACAGTAAGAAACCAGTAAGGTTCCAGGGAACTGGAGGAGCGAGGCTGCTTATCCCCAGCCTCCTTCTGCCTCCTGCCTTAGGATAAAGGAGGAGTGGAACTTCGTGGCCGAGTGCAGGAGGAGGGGCGTGCCCCAGGCCCAGTACTGCAAGAACGGCTTCGTGGACACCAGCACAAGGCTCCTGGAGAAGACCGAGAGGAACCCGGTCGCCGCCAGGCAGAGAGTCAAGGACAGAGACAAAGCGAGCGATCCACATGTGTTTGAACTTTCAGGGGCGCAGTGGAAGGTGAGGCAAGGTGTCTGTCTGTCCTCTGTCTGTCTGTCTGTCTGTCGTAAGTGGGCACTCAGGGCTGCACTAGAGCTGAGGTTGAGCCTTAGCCTTGGCCAAACGAATGCCCCATTTGTATGTATTGAAAAAAGAAAAAAATCTGTTCCTTTTTTTAAGTGTTGGGGATTGATTCCATGGCTCCACACCTGAGCCACATCCGCAGCCCCTTTTGTGTACATCAGGGCTGTGGTGAGAATGAACTAAGTGAACACTCTGCGAGCTTCTGTTCTCCCAGAATGAGATTATCCCATCGAGCCTACTTGCTCTCTTTTCTTTTGCATTCCTGTCATTTAGATCGGCAGGTACACAGGCAGTGTCTTTTTGCCAAATTCAGGGCATCAGGCTTGATCTCAAGCACTTGTGCCCGTCTTGCTGTAGCAGAACACGTGTGTGTGTGTGTGTGTGTGTGTGTGTGTGTGTGTGTGTGTGTGTTCATGAGGACAACTTTGGGGGTCAGTCCTCTCCTTCCCCAGTGTGGGACCCAGGGATTGGACTCTGGTTGGTAGGCTGTGGCAGCCTTTACTTGGTAAGCCATTCCACTGGCCCTATACTTTATATATTTATTGTTTATTTGTTTACTTTGTTTTGTTTTGTTTTGTTTTTGAGGCAGGGTTTCTTTGTGTATCCTTGGCTGTCCTGAACTCACTCTGCAGATCAGGCTAGCCTCGAACTCACAAAGATCTGCCTGCCTCTGCCTCCCTGAGTGCTGGGCCTATAGAGGTGCACCAACCACCATGCCCAGCTTTCACTTTATTTTTTGAGACAAGGTTTCTTACAGAATTGGCAGGTGGCCCTCTTTATAAAAGCTTGTTCTGAGATTTTACTCTGTCTTACGTGTATGGGTGTTCTGCTTCATGTATGTCAATGTACTCAATGTGTGCCTGGTGCCTGTAGAGAGCAGAGGAAAGCGTCACATCCTCTAAGACTGGGGTTACAGATGGTTGTGAGCCACTGTGTAACCCACGGCCTCTGCAAAAGCAGTTAGTGTTTATAACAGCCGGTGACCTGTCCACTTCTAGAAAGTCACCTTTTACTGCATTGGCTGGCCAGCAAGCTCCCAGGAGCTGCCTGTCTCCACTCTAAGTACTGGAGTTACAGGCATGTGTGGAGATTTGAACTCACTCTTGTTTTCACAGCAAGTACTGTCACCCACTGAGCCATCACCCTGATCCATGTCTGGTCTTTTGGTAAAAGACCATTGGCATTTCATTGGTGTGTGTGTGTGTGTGTGTGTGTGTGTGTGTGTGTGTGACAAAGTTCAACCTTGGGTATTGGGTCTTGGGTGTCTTCCTCTGTTGCCCTCCACCTTGTTTTTGAGACAGGATCTCTTACTTTCACTGAGAATTTACCTGTTGGGCCAGGCTGGCAAACCAATAAGCCCCTAGAATCTGCCTGTCCATCCCTGTACCTGTCCAAGGCTGGGATTAAAGATGTGAGCCACCACACCTGACTTTAAAGTGGGTTCGGGGGAGCAAACTCAGGTCCCCAAGCTTGTGAGGCAAACATTTTAGCAACAGCGCCGTTTCCCAGCCTCTTACCTCGATGGTAATGCCCACTCTGCTTATCTCACAGTCTTGTGTGAGATAGCCCCTGAGTTCAGGACACCAGTAGGTTAAAGGCTTGACCATACACAGCGGCAACGATCTGAAGCCAGTTCCAAGCATAGAGGTACCACTGTCCCTACAGCGCTTCGGCCACACAGAGCTATGGGATGAACACTGTCCACCTTCAGGGGGTCAGGGACCCTTTAATGCCAAAGGTGGCTTCGATTTCCTCAGTGGGACACATTGCTTCCTGGAGGTCTTAAGCACCTTTCCACACCATTATGACTTTTTCCCAGCGCACTTGAACTAGGGGAGGCTGTGGCTGTCACTGTCCCCATCGTTATTCCTTCAGAAGCCAAAGCTAGGGACACAGTGCAGCCGAAAGAAGGCTGAGGCTGGTTGGGCCGGGCTCACTGCGCACTGCCCTGTCTTTCCGAAGCTCTTTCCTCCATTATCGATTCATAAACATAAAAACACTAAGGGATGCGGTACAGAAAATGCTAGTTATTTATCAAATATTTCTAAAAGCAACTACAGAGTAAGAGAAACAGAGCACAAATGTCTAAAACAATCAGATGTGCCCACAAGCACCCAGGAGAGCCGTACATGCAGACCACCAACACACAGTCTTTAAAACATGAGAAGCTTTTTTGTCTTTTCTTTTGCAGGTTTTTAAACCTGATTTGTGTAGCTCTCAAGTGTGAACTCTGTAGCTGTCAATGTCTGTCATGATGTCAAAGTCTGTGCATGCCAGAATGGGATAGATTCTTATTTTTAGAAGATGTCAAACGTACGTTGTTGATAAATATAGTGAGGATGGTCATCTGTGTTCACTAGGATTCATATATATACAATATGGATAATATAACTGTGTTAACTCTATGTATTGTACATGAGGTGTGTCTGTAGGGGGCCATGCTTGTTTGAGCTCAGGGGAGTACTTTGCATGCTCAACTACTCTCCCCCTTATTCTGATGACTATGTACATTAAATAGTTAGTATAGTTAGCTATATTTGGAGACAGGCTCTCACTAAATTGTCCAGGTTGGCCTTGAACTTGTGATACCCCTACCTCAACCTCCCAAACACTTGAACTTCCAGGCCTGCACACTAGGCCTGACTAGGATTTGATCTTAATATTATAAATCTGTCATTGTGAAATTCATGACCACTGGCTTCTGTAGAAATGGCTGCAGTTGGGCCTCGATGATCCCACGTGCCTTCTACATTATGGTGACTCCTCGGCCTGTCAGGCTTGTGAACACTGAGGAGATGCCTCTGACGGACACTGTCCCTTCTGTTTTAGGAGCTGCCTGATTCCCTGAAGGAGCAGACACACCTCAAAGAATGGCACATTCACAGCACCCTCATTCAGATCATTCCTACGTACATCGAGCTGTTCCAAGCGATGAGAATTTTGGATTTGCCAAAAAACCAAATCATGTGTCTTCCAGCTGAAATTGGTAGGTTCCTCGGCAGAAATCTTTGGCCATTGCCAATGGTGAGCAGGCAGGTATTGGGCATGTGACACAGTCCAAGCACCCCATGTCCTCCTCCTCCTGCTCCTGGGTGTCCCTCAGCTGTTTCCCTGTCCCCAGAGCCACTGGTTCACAGTGGCTTTGTCTTCTTTGGGACATGAAGTACCATGATTTACCTCCATTATTCAGCATTGATAGAAATAGGACAGTTGCTTAGAAACCTGAAGTCTTACGGTGAGTGGACAACACTTTAAGAATTTTTTCGCTGCTAGGGTGGTGGTACATACCTTTAATCCTGCACTTGGGAGTCAGAGGAGTAGAAGCATGGTAACAAGATTATTGGAAAGGTAGAATAAAATATATTGTGTCTATATAGTCATTCATTGTTAAGTTTAGCTTGGCTCACATCATTTTGATTGACCAACATTTAATAATTTTTGATCATTTCGCTTTTTTGGTTGAATCTTCTTAAAATAAGGATTACAATGATCACTGATGTCTTTTTTTTTTTTTCTCTTGGGGTCTAAGGAATCGCTATCACAATTTTTGAGCCGAATTTGAAGCAAGCTTTTTTATATACTGGCCAAGATGAACACTGGTCAGGTCCAGACCTGGCATTCCCAGAGAATGGCGCAAATTTACATTAGTCGAGTGCTTATTAATGCAAAATCCACAAGGCTATGTGCTTCCCACCATCGTCTAACTGGGGACAAGCATGCTTCCTGCGTATGTGCCCCCATGTGTATGCAATCAAGCACTTCCTGTTCATCTGAGGCAGCCACCTTGTTTACAGAAGTGAAAACACACGGCTTGTCATCTTACACGGACAGCAGTCCAGGAAGTTGCCTGTCCTTGGGCAAGTGGGGCTTACGGGTTAGAGGTATTTTTATTTTATTGATCTCTTAAGCCCAGTAATTTAAACTTAAAACATAACATCAGCCCTCACATCTTCCCTTATTTCATTCCTTGTTGGTAATCGAGTTATCCGCTCTGAAACAGTAACAAGATGTACATGGTATTATGGGTGGTTGGGGTCAAGGGAGCTATTTATCTCTTACACTATCGTTGCTATCTTCCAACACATCTTAAAAAATCGGCAAAACGGATCAGAATGGGCCTTGCAAATTGGGCATGACTGGCTTACCCCAGTATGCGGAGGCAGGGGGATTGCGGCCCAGTCTCCAGTATTACTGTCTCGTTTATAAAGTGGCAGGAAATGCGAGGGCTGAGGGACCATTCTGCAAAAGTAAACAGTCACTTTGGTTTACAATTTAAAATTATCCTAGGAACAGTAAAGATAAAGTGTTTGATTCCTTAGGACATATATGATGTGATTTTTGGAGTATTATTATGTATTTATTCTTGTACTGGTTTCTAGGTTAGAGCCAGTTGCATATATTTTCAAACAAGAATCAGAACTAGGGGGCTGTAGAGATGACCCAGCCGCTAAGAATGCTTACTGCTCTTGCAGAGGACCCAGGTTTGATTCCCAGCACCCACATGGCAGTTCACGGCTGCCTGTAACTCCAGTTCTGACCACTGAACTCTCCTGTATGCATGTGCTAAACACACATACACATGCAAATAAAATAAAATAAATGTTAAAAAATAGAATCAGATCCAGAATATAGTATTTTCAATCATTCTGATAATTGCCTGTTCTGGATGTGTTCACACCTGTGTGACTTGCATATTTGACTTACATATGCTTTGGGAAGCGTGTTATATCATAACTGAAAGAATGCAGATAAAAGAATGCAGATAAAAGGTGCATTACATGACACTGTAAACAGTCTGTAGCCGTTAGTCGTTTACCACATACACAGAACTTCGTGTGTATTTCTGTGCCTAGCCCGTGCCTACTAGAGCCCATCAGTAGGCATCAGTAATTTCTACTATCCCTAAATGCGACATCCATCTCCAGTATCATGGCCTGTGATTCAGCTCATCATGTGTTTCACTGCTGTGGATGCCTTGAAAAAGAGGGCTATAAAATGTTTATTATTAGCCCCAATATTACCACGGCAGTATTACCTAACCTGATATCACAAATAAGACACAGACACCTGTTAGATTTATAGTTGCCTTATTTACCTTGGGCCGGGCAGATATTTCACTTACACTGTCTCAGTATCCTCACCATCCATCTCCCAGCCCCCATCCAGTGCCATCCACCTTAATCATCCTCATATGAACTATCTTCCATCCATAATCCCATGGTACTTGCTTATATTTTTCATCTGGGTTTTTCACGCCATTATTAGACTCCTTTCTCTCAGCCCACATGTTTTTTTCTCCACACTAACCCATCTTAGCATCCCCTTCCTCCTCTCTTCCTGTCTGTCTGTCCCCTGTGATTCTCTCTGGAACTCAAAAGCCTGGGAACCTTAGCCACGCTTACCCCTACCCAGGTACAGGTCGTTTAGTCAACCAATCAGACCAACCTCCAGCAGTGCCTGGTTTGACCCAGGCTGACAGAAGACAAATCCCCTTCACACCTTGCGGTGGCTGAGGGAGAAATGATCCACAACTTCCTGTATTTGAAACTTGGTTCCTGTGGGTGATGCTGTTCGGGGGATGTGAAACCTTTAGGAGTGGAACTGTAGAGGAGGAAAGATGTCAGTGGGATGGGCCTAGCTTTGTTCTTCCTCTTCCTGTGATTAGCTAGCTTTCTGCTTCAAAGCCATGCTTTTTGCCATTCTGGACTCTCAATTTGGAGAACCAAAATAAACTTTTTGTTTTTTTTCTTTCAACTTTTAAACATCGTATTTACATGTATTGGTGCTTTGTCTGTATGTGTGACTGTCATCATGTGCATGCAGTGGCTGAAGAGGCCAGAAAAGGAAAATGGAGTTACAGTTGGTTTTTAGCTGCCGTGTACATGCTAGGAATTGAACCCAGGTCCTCTGGAAATGCAGCTAATGCCCTTAATCACCATGTAGTCTCTTCAGCCCCAAACTATCTTCTCTAAGTTGTTTTTGGTCATGCTATTTTATTACAGCCACAGGAAAGTAACCAATACACACTTTAACTACCGTGTCACAAGGGGTGAAAAGACCAGGGAAGTGAAACCAACAAAACCAGCACGGATAGTGAAATGCTCTGACCAAAGCCTGCCATGCATAAGATGAGCAGACATTTAATAAAGCGCTCAAAACACACACACAGTTATGTTTATGTCTGCACAGCTTTTGTTGTTCGTGTGTGTGTTCCCTTTTCTTTCTTTGAATGCTTTTTGAGACAGGGGCTATGTAGAGCTGTGATCTTTCTGCTTACAAGTTTCCAGTGCTAGAATTGTGGGCTCTCACTGCCATCTCTGGGCTGCCTGTTGTTAGGTGAAGTTTTCACCCCTGAGATTTGTTTCTGTTCTGTTTTTTTGTTTGTTTGTTTTTAGTGTTTTATTTATTTATTTTTTAGATTTATTTATTTATTATATATACAATGTTTTGCCTGCATGCCAGAAGGGGGCACCAGATTTCATTATAGATGGTTGTGAGCCACCATGTGGTTTCTAGAATTGAACTCAGGACCTTTGGAAGAGCAGCCAGTACTCTTAACCTCTGAGCCATCTCTCCAGCCCCTGCTCTGTTTGTTTGTTTTGTTTTGTTTTTGAGACAGAGCCTTACTGTGTAGACCTGGCTGGCCTGGAACTCACAGAGATCTGCCTTTCCCTGCCTGCTGAGCACTGAGATTAAAGGCCTGTGCCACTATGCCTGGCTTGTTTCTGTTCTTAAGAGGCTTTGAGGGACCTACTCAATGGAGGTTAACCTTCTGTGGTGCCAGGTCGCTTGAAGAACCTGAAGGAACTCAATGTGAGTTTCAACCATCTCAAGAGTATCCCCCCGGAGCTGGGAGACTGTGAGAATCTGGAGAGACTGGACTGTTCCGGGAATCTGGACCTGACGGAGCTCCCCTTTGAGGTAAGAAACAAACACTGTGCTCCATGACCTGCTTTTATTTAACTTATGACATGGTGTGCTCTGTACTGTGAGAAAGCTTTACTAAAACCTCTAGGTTTTGTTTGTTTGTTTGTTTTTGATTGCTAGGTTACTCTTAGGCTTTAATGAAAATTTAAGAGTTGTCAAACAACTTTGAAATAGGACAAAACTCACAGAATTTATATCATGCAATTTCAAAACTTACTATAAAGTCACAGCTTCGAATTGACATAAAGACAGACAGAAAAATAAAACAGAACTGAGATTTCAGATATAAACCTCTATAATATATACATATATTTAGATATGTTATGATTTTATTTTGAGATAAAGTATTACTGTGGCCTTGACTGTCCTGGAACTTGCTCTGTAGACCAGGCTGGCCTCAAACTCACAGAGGTTTGCCTGCCTCTGTCTCCTGAGTGTTGAGATAAAAGGTGTGCACCACCATGCCCAACTATATTATATTTACAATCAATTTCTTTTTCAACAAAATCATCAAGATAATCCGACAGAGAAAGGACAGCCAACTCAATAGAAGGTCTTGGGAAAATTAAAATCCTTGCCTAATGTATTTTTATTATTAAAACATATTCATTATTTAACATATGATGACATAAATGAAGAGTTTGAAAAAAATACGCTAGATGAAAGAAAAGCTTGTGGATATAAAGCAGACTCAGGCTTCCCTTGAGATAAGGGTGAGAGCAGAGAATAACAGTGGGAAGAGGAAAATCTGAGAGTAGGTGATAGAGATATTCCTGACACCAAATGATGGCCCACTGATGGCTGTGTTCTATGGCATGCAAACGCTACCTCGTTGAAGTCTGGGGAGTTAGAAGAAAGGATTTCCCAAGTAGAAATGACTGACAGCACCGTCTTGAACTAGGGTGTGAAGGGGTTGACGAGCAGGTGTGTTCTCTGAAGGGTTTGTCTAAGCATTGCGTAAGGGACGTGGGACCAAGACAGAGAACAATACCTAACTCGGCTCTGAACGTCTGAGGGAAGATGGAGTTCCGGACTGGGGGATTAGAGCATGCGCAGATATGAGCAGGGGGCTGGTGACTCCGGACCGCCCCACAGCCGAGCACATTCAGGGGGCGTTGGGTTACCAGCCACTGCCTCCCAGCCAGCATTATTTAGGAAAGCCAGCGCTCCTGGAGACCTTCGCAAGCAACAACCCTCTCCAGGGGCATGCGGCGGTCCTCACCTCTGTTTATTTGGTGATAAAAATTGTTCGCTTTTCCCTGTTCCACTTTATCCGATGATCGTTTAAAATCACCTTCTCCATGAATACAGAATGAATCTAATGACCACTTTTAAAGTTAGTACATTTCTGAAGTTACCTGCAGGACCACGCAAGCCAGTCAGGACCATATGAAAAAAGATTTACCTCGTTATTTCCAGCTTCGTCTCGGTAATAAATAGTAACAAATCCTGCGTAGTAAATCAGGATCTTCATTCTAGGTAACAGACATCATCTATTAAGTGGGTATAAAATAAAAATGTCTTGTGTGAAGTTGAGATATTTTGCTTCATCTTCTCTTAATAGTATTTCTAGGGCCAGTACTTAGGTAGTGGAGTCCTTGTCTAGGATGTGCAAAGCCCTGGGTAGGTTTCACCCCAGAACTGGGTTTGGTAGCACAAGCCAGTAACCTAGAGGTGGTAGCAGGAGAACCAGGAAGTTGAAGGGTCTCCTAAGCTACACAGCAAGTAAGAAGCCCACCTGGGTCACATGAAACCCTGTCTCAAAAACCAAGTTAAAATACACGCATTATATAATTTCTATCCTTAGATTAGGGTCTTTGTTCAGTGTATTAACATTTTCATAGACCTTATGATAACAGGGATGAGGTGACTGAAATGTCCAGAAGATATTATAGATTTCATACTTTTGAGAAAAAACAGAATTTGTTTATTTATTTTTTGTAGGAATGGTACGAATGCATATGTGTTTGTATATTATATGTGTGCAGTACCCCTAGACGCCAAAAGATGGCATCAGAACCCCTCAGAACTGGGGTTTGAGCTGGTTGTGAGCCACCGTGTGGTTGCTGGGAACAGAACCCAGGTCCTTTGTAGAACAGCAGGCGCTCTTAGCTGCCAAGGGATGGATTTCATATCTGTCTGTCTGTCCACCTGCCCGAATGCTGTATGTATGTATGTATGTATGTATGTATGTATGTATGTATGTATGTATGTATGTA